GAGTGTGAGTGTGTGTGTGTGTGTGAGAGAGAGTGTCAGTGCTGCTTCTCTCTGCTGCTTATAGAAACACCAGAGTGTATTACTGAAAACTGGCCTCGAGTCAATATTTAAATATATTTAAAGGAACAGTTCACTCAAAAATGAAAATTTGCCTTCTGGCCATCCGAGATCAGGATGAGTTTGTTTCTTCATCAGGTTTGTAGAAATGTAGCATTGCATCAGTGTCTCAGCAATGGATGCTCTGCAGTGAATGGGTGCCGTCAGAATGAGAGTCCAAACAGCTGATAAAAACATCACAATAATCCACAAGTAATCCACAGCACTCCAGTCCATCAGTTAACATCTGGAGAAGACAAAAGCTGAAACAAATCCAGCATTAAGACGCTTTTAACTAAAATAAGAGTACAAAATCCATAATAACGCTTCCTCCAGTAAAAAAAAATGCTACATTTCTACAAACCTGATGAAGAAACAAACTCATCCTGATGTGGGGTGAGCACGTTTTCATTTCTGGCTTAAATATTCTTTTAAAAAATAAATACTTCAATATTTACTAGCTATCAAATGTGAAATTAATTTGATTAATAAACCATAGACTTATCTCTAAATGGATCTACATGATTAAAGCAGACATACAGATGTATGTATTAAACTCATACGTATATAATAAATAACAAATCAATCATAATTTCATAGGTGCATCATGCGGCACACAAACGCACTCCACACTCAAGCGAAGCTGCGGTCACATGTTCAGACTGACACGGGTCATGAGGACACTCCTGCGCACTGAACTCTGGGTAGTTTTGCTGCAGGATGGATCTATCAGTGTGTACACAGATATCAAGCGCTACAGTCAGCTGATTGGCCCATGGTGGCGTCTACTGTTGCCACGGGAACCATAGGACCGTCACACAGGGAGGATTAGTCTACAGGGTGACGGCACTGAAAACACACACACACACACACACACACACACACACACACACACACACACACACACACACACACACACTCTCACACACACTGTAACACACTAGGGCTGTCAAAAAAAAATTGAATTTCGAATATTCGTCGAATAAAAAAAAAATCCACATTCGAATGCAAAAACGTTGCATTGGAATTTTAGATCTGCGTCAGCCGTCAGGCAGCTTTATCAGTGGCGCACGAAATGCGACGACAATGTAAGTGTCATTGCATTGTAATGCTTTTGTTAGACTATCCAGTTGAACCCACTAGATGCGGCGCTGCTGCGTTGTTCATATTATATATATGCGGAAAACGAGAGCATCAGTGTGGCGAAGATGTTGTCTACGGCGAAGCTGAAACCAAGCCGTTCACACAGAACGCATATTTATCACATTTTCTAGCGGGGCATCTTATCAGTGTTGCACTTGCGTCTCGCAGAGAGCCGCATGTTTAGAAAGCCATGTAAAATTAACGCAAGTTCAACTTTTAAAAAAACATGTCTAAAGACATTATGACGGTTTTCCCCCATCCCACTGTATCTCACTATTTTAAATGAAGAAAGTAGCCTACTCTTTGTGATTGGTTTTTGGTCCTTTGTATTAAACTATGCATACATGCATGGTGCTGTTTTTTTTCTAATTGTTTAAGCAATTTTATTAGTTATATATGGTTTATAAACATTATTTTAAACATTATGCACTTGTTTTCAAAGATGTTATTTTATTACGCTTTGAAGAAACGTGCATAATATTTTGCTCGATGCGCTCTCTTGTGGCCTCAGGAGAGAAGCCAAAAGCTTTTTTTCCTTTTAAATTCAAATATAATTCGAATTTTGATAATATTTAAGTGGAAAATTCGAATTCAGTTTTTCAGTCATTTTGACAGCCCTATAACACACACACACTGTAACACACACACACAGTAACACACACTTACTGACGAGATGCGCTTGACAATCGCATGCGATTAATTGCACTGCCCTACTGTAACACACTCACACACACACCTGCGCACACACCCCAGGGTTATTATAGGTTTCATATGCAACACAAACTGTAAATATAAAGATTTTTTATATTTGTTTTTATTTCACTTTCAATTTTCTTCGCTGTAATGTTAATATGTCTTGTTTTTTAAATGATGAATCCCTTTTATCTGTTTATCTTGCTAAATAATGCAACTAATGACGCAGAAGTAACATTCTCTACGGCGCGCGACATTTCATCAGGTCACGCTCAAAGCTGTGTGTTCCAACAAAATGACTGCGGTTTATTGTGTTTCATGGAAACGAAACCATTTAGCTCTTCCTGTTCAAGTGGGCCTGCACTGACTGAAAGTAAACTAAAGCCTTTGCAAGTTCAATGCAGTTTTCATTCCAACTGCATCTGATACAACTGTCACTTGTTTTGAGTTTTCTATTACAATAATAATCCTGGCACACACACACACACACACACACACACACACACACACACACACACACACACACACAGATAAAGGCCCTGCACACGCTTTGAAGAAACGTGCATAATATTTTGCTCGATGCGCTCTCTTGTGGCCTCAGGAGAGAAGCCAAAAGCTTTTTTTCCTTTTAAATTCAAATATAATTCGAATTTTGATAATATTTAAGTGGAAAATTCGAATTCAGTTTTTCAGTCATTTTGACAGCCCTATAACACACACACACTGTAACACACACACACTGTAACACACACACACACACTGTAACATAGGGCAGTGCAATTAATCGCATGCAATTGTCAAGCGCATCTCGTCAGTAAAGCCGGTCCCGTGATTAGTAGTTAATCTCCATCACCTGCTTTCAGATGGAGCGGCATTCACTACACAGAGCCGTAGTTCACTGACAAGCTAGGCAATA